TGTAGGCCAGGAGAAGCTGCCTTTCAAAACCGAATTCAGGGTTCGCTTTTCATCAAGTGACGATGGGGTGTAAATTCTTCAGTGATAACGCAAAATTAGCCTTAATTTGGATCTGAAGTCACAGACTAAGGCAGAGTCAAGTTAGAGCATCTGTAAGAAAGCGACCATTTATCATCCTAGTTTTAATCGTTCTCAGTTTTTGAAATTAAATTTTGAGTTTGAATTCAAAAACTGAATATTGCTTGAAGGTTCATCGATCGGCAGTGAGCTCTTTAGCATTAGTGGTCGCCGGACAAAATTATTTAAACACAAACATGGACAGACATACAAGCATGAACTTGCCAAAGTGTTTGTTAGATTCACGAAAAAATACACAACTAAAAGGAACCTGGAGAATGCATAGACAATGACGTCGCAAGCGAAATTGAAGTAATACAAATAATGAGCAGTGTTGTATAGAAATATTGTAACTGAACCGTGGAGGCCTCCAACAATGGAAAATTCGTTACTTTGAAAGACGTACATTGCTATTGTATCCGTAATGCGCAACAAATAAAACGGTGTATTCAGTAATATAAACACTACTGGTACCACCAATAAAATCCTGTAATTTAAGGGCATTTTTTTAAAAATGATTTCTTCTTTATTAGTTTCTGGCAAAAATTGTTTATTAAAACTACTTCATAATTATTAATTCTGATAAAATCATTTCTTGTTAGATCCTGACAAAAAATTGTTAATTCTGAGAACATCATCTTTCATTAATTTCGTTGTTAGAATAACAGGAAGGAAGTACGTTCTTCCAAGAAGTATGTATAACTATTAAAATGGTAATAGCGTGATACTCAGCCTACTTAGTGCATTATATATATGTAATTGTTATATATGTAACCATTATACATATACATATATATATATATAACTGCTTTGTTGCACGAGAAAAGCCGCAAGAAGATATGAAGAACTATTGTCCTATCTGCTTACTCCCTCACATTTACACCCGCTTGGAAGACTACAATTAACCCACTGATAAAACTTTGTGATGAACAGCAATCGAAGAAACAAGTTGGATTCTGAAACAATTTGGCAAATGGACTTCATTTTCGATCTAAATTAACTGCTGGAACGCGCAAAGCATCAGTCGCCCTCTCTGCCTCCAGTTCATCAGTTACAAATAAGCATTCGATTGCGCAGAGCTGGGAATATACCCTTTGATGATAGGGGTATATTAACGGTTTAAGCGTATATTTCCAGTCCACGTACAAATTAAACATTTTAAATCCAGTCACCCGGTATGCGTGGCACTCATATTTGGGCAGGCGAAAGTTTTGGTGGGAAAATTATTAATTCGGGAACCAGAAAAGCTAGAAAGCTGAAATCTTAGGGGGATGTTCCCTGCCCAAATGTAACTGAAATGTTTTCAAATTTAGCTCCATGCATGCGTGCTTCTCACGCACTGGCGCTTAAAAATCTTGGCGGAAAAATTGCCCACTCAACACAACTAGGTCATTTTCAAAGAACGACTGTTAAACGGAAATTTTTTATTTTCTCTACACAAAATTTACAACGATTTACGTTATTGAGCGCAAAAGGTAAGTGTAAAGCAGCAATTATTCATGCAATTAACACCCTCAGTACTTCGAGCCTGGGCAAAAGCGCACGATTGCACCGGCAAGCCTGGTACATTCCAGCCTGGATCTGTCGCTTCTGGTTCACAAAGTCGTTTCTGCCGAAGAAATTTGCATATTTTTTGGGGGGTCCGTATGCAAGATCTGGGAACTTATGAGCTAGGATTTTAAAATGGAAGGGTGACAAAATTTCAGCCTTCCAGCTTTCTTGGTAGCTGAGTTGAAATGGGTGACACGATTCACTCGCTTTCGAACACACTCACGTACAAACACGGATAACCTCTCGACAGTATGTGTTTTTGCTCGCCGCACAGCAAAAACGCATGAAAATGGAAATAATAGTTCAGTGGTTCAAGTAATGAGCATTGACTACCTGCAGTTTGTATGGCTGGTTCATTAACATGATGGATTCAGCCGTTTGGGGTAGCAGATTCCGAGGGCAATTTTTGAGAAAAAGTTTAAGAAAAAGATTTTCATTAGTAAAAGCTGTAGCAAAAAGATGGGAGAAGTGAAAACAAACATAGTTGATCCCTGTCGACGCCGAGACGGAGTTTTTGTAGCTCTGCACTGACCAGCGGCTACATGGCTGAAGCCTTGTTTCACCTTTCCAGCGACAAGCAAATTTAATATAACCACACAAAGGCAGGGCATCATGTAGCATAATATCATATCCGCCACTTCCACAACTATCTGCAAAACAGAGTATCTACCCAGCCATTAAATTTAATGTATTATGCAATCACAGCTGTCTCGAAGGAGTCAAAACACAGAAACGCTAGATCATTTTAACACTCATGTTCGTATGTAGTGTGAAAGTGGGAGATGGAAAGGATTTTAATGTCGAAGTCAGCCATAACAGTTGGATGCACAAAATAAGCGTTGGCAGTTGACTCGGTAGCTTTTGGTCAGGCTTGGATTTACTTTTTTTTCAAGCCGCAGAATCGTTTCCATTGTTGGTATCGAAGAACACGACCCTACTTAATTCATTTGAATTTCGAGATATTTGTTCACCGTATTAATTTGAGATTATTACAAAAAAAAAACAGTTTATGATAAGCTTATTTTTACAGATGCTAGTATGCGATTGACTTCCCGCTTAGACATGTATGCAGAGAGAGTGAAAATTTAAAATTTGATTGGTCATTTGCAGATCAAACGGATGCCTCCATGTCTTAGTACTTCAGTATGAAACGTCCTCGCTCAACAAAAATCATTTTGTAGAAATGGTGCTTTGTTTTGTACGAGTGCAGTGGAATGAAGACAAGTTCAGGGCCAGCGTAATTTGACTTTTAAGATGTTTTTATTCGTATATTAAATAAATTTTGCTTTCGTTTATAAAATTTTGCGCTATTCTTTTTGAATTCTGGGCCTTTTCGGTAGAATTTTGTACTTGTTGATTCTTTCTTTTTTTTATCCATACAAACAATTGACGCGTCCATTTCAGAGCCAGAGGAGCGACTTGCGAACTG